CTCAGCTCAGTCTTGAGCCATTCACCCTCCTCACTTCTCTTGTTCTTGTGATGAGCTCGCCAACCTCAGGACATTTCCCTAGACACATGGCACTGGGGTGATCCAGAGACCCAGAGACCACTGTCTAGAGCCTCACTGGGGTGAGCCGGAGACCCAGAGACCACCGTCTAGAGCCTCGTTGCCTCCATCTTAACGTCTACAGAGACTCTTGGCATTTTGCCATTCTACTTGTCAAATCCACCATAAGTCCACTTATGAGCCTACTAGCTTCTCTCAGTCTTGTCCTTCTGAGGCATATAAATTCCAAGGCTTTCCCATGTCACCTTGAAGAGTTCATGGATTAGCCATGGTGGCCACAGCACAAAGTACATACACTGCTGCCAACCTGCCACTACGGTCCTGATGATCATATGAGAAGGCAGGCCAGTTCTCTTCTGCTCAGTAGCCCGAGATCCATCTTTTCCAAGTCCACCCTCTGGCCTCCAGCGTAGGCTTAAGCAGAACCCAGTGTCTCAGCTCCCCCTTGTCTCTCCCAAACACCCAGCCAGGAGTATGTGTGCATGTGCAAGTGTTCAGAGGCAAGAAGAGGGCTTTAGATCTCCTGGAGCTGCAGACACAGGCAGATGTGAGCTCTCCGATGTGGGTGCTGGGAACAGAACCACTAAGCCATCTTTCCAGACCCCTGTTTTATCTTGAGACAGCATCTCACTTGTAACTCTGCCTGACTTGGAACTCACTATGTAGAGCAGGATGGCTGTGAACTTACAAAAATCCGTGTGTGTGTGTGTGTGTGTTTTTCAAGACAGGGTTTCTCTGTAGTTTTGGAGCCTATCCTGAAACTAGCTCTAAAAGACCCCCGGAGTTGGGAGACTCTCACTCAAGTCTCTGGATAACACGACACCCCCAAGAACTCACAAGAGACCGTCCTTGCTGTAATCACACGAGGCTTATTGACAGAAACCAGCGCGCTGGGGCCAAGATTCATATCTCACGCAGGGGTAGAGGAGTTTGACCCCAAGTAGCTGGGAGAAGGGGTATTTAAGGGAAGAAACCATAACTCAATAACCCAAAAGAGGTAGGGAGGGCATCATTGGAAGATTCCGAAAATACCAGCGATAATCACAAGGAGATAACTCCTGTTTCTCAAGATTGTTCCCAAGATTATAATCTAACTCTGAGGTCAGCCAGTTCCTGGAACAAAGTCACTGAACCAGCTAGCCTAGATTATTGGCTCTACTCTTCCTGCTGGTAGTCTGGATTTATCCTGGTCTTTCAGCTCTTGTAGACCAGTCTGGCCTCAAACTCACAGTGACCCGCCTGCCTCTGCCTCCCGAGTGCTGGGATTAAAGGCGTGTGCCACCACTATCCAGCTTGCTGATACTTCTTGAATTCTGGAATAAAGCTGGCTATATTCCACTCCTATACCTGGACTGTGCTAGTATAAGGTATACCTAGAACCATAACCCAGAAGAAATTTTTGAGTCTTGGCAACCCCTAAGTCCTCTACTGCAGCCTAGTGTGGGGTGGTAACAACGGGGATTCCAGTTGTTGGCTCACACTTGTGAAATCTGGAGCAAGCTTCCCTCCCTCTCTTGGCCTCCATTTCCTCATATGTAAACTGAGGTCTCTGATAATAGTTCAGTACATGGTCATGAGTGCCTTCTCTAGCAGACAGTGTTGGAATAACAGATTGCCTCCATACTATAGGCCTTCAGAATTGAAAACCAGTGGGTGATTTGTGTGGTTTTCTGGGTGAGTGACTTCTAGGGGGTTCTTGTATAACCAGTGAGTATGTTTCTTTGGCTGCTGGACCTTGACAGTTGGCAAAGCAGCTGGTGTTTTCACTTGGTTTTAGGTAAGAAGTTAATGGAATGGATTAGCGAGGCAGGTTTAGGGGGTCTGGGAAGTTAGGAGGGAGACTGTATTTTTCCCCTTTAGTTTTTTTTTTTAAAGATTTATTTATTTATTTTGTTTACAGTGTTCTGTCTGCATGTATGCCTGCAGGCCAGAAGAGGGCACCAAATCTCATTACAGAAGGTTGCGAGCCACCATGTGGTTGCTAGGAATTGAACTCAGGACCTCTGGAAGAGCAGTCAGTGCTCTTAACCTCTGACTGATCTCTCCAGCCCCTCCCACTCATTCTTTGCAGCAGAAGTCATATGCCATCTCTTCTGTGCATAGGTCCTTGATCTCCTCATAAAGCACACTTCAGACTCAGGGGTTGGGACAGAGGTGCAGCTCAGCTGGCAGAGTACTTGCCTAACACCTAGGAAACCCTGCGTTTGATCCCAAATACTGAATAGACAAGGTATGGTGGCATAGACCTGTAACCCCAGCATTGAAAAGTGGAGACAGGAGAAGCAGAAGGTGATCCTGAGCTTCGACTTCAAGGTTAGCCTGAACTGCACAGTACCCTGTCTCAGAACAAATGCACAAACTCAGGGATTAATTGGCCGCTGGGATATTGCTCCAGACCAAGAGCTACTAAGCAGCAGAGGCCACATCTGAGCCTCCATTTTTTTTTCACAAATTTACAAAGTCAGGAGTTCTAGTGAAGGGCTTGGTGGCCTCTGCTTTTTTTTTATTGATTTTATTGAGCTATACATTTTTATCTGCTCCCCTCCCTGCCTCTCCCATTCCCTTCAACCCTCTTCCATAGTCCCCATGTTCCCAATTTACTTTGGAGATCTTGTCTTTTTCTACTTCCATGTAGATTAGATCCATGCATATCTCTCTTAGGGTCCTCATTGTTGTCTTGGTTCTCTGAGATTGTGATTTATAGGCTGGTTTTCTTTGCTTTATGTTTAAAAGTCACTTATGAGTGAATACACATAGTATCTGTCTTTTTGGGTCTGGGTTATTTCATTCAATATGATATTTGCTAGATCCATCCATTTGCCTGCAAATTTCAAGATGTCATTATTTTTTTCTGCTGTGTAGTACTCCATTGTGTAAATGTGCCACATTTACCTTATCCATTCTTTGGTCAAGGGGCATTTAAGTTGTTTCCAGGTTCTGACTATGACAAACAAAGCTGCTATGAACATAGTTGAGCACATGTCCTTGTGGCACGATTGAGCATCCTTTGGATATATATCCAAAAGTGGTATTGCTGGGTCTTGAGGAAGGTTGTTCTCTAATTTTCTGAGAAATCGCCATAATGATATCCAAAGGGGCTGTACCAGTTTGCACTCCCACCAGCAATGTGGGAGGAGTGTTCCCTTTACCCACATTCTCTCCAGCATAAGTTGTCATCAGTGTTTTTGATCTTGGTCATTCTTACAGGTGTAAGATGGAATCTCAGAGTTGTTTTAATTTGCATTTCTCTGATGACTAAGGATGTTGAACATTTCCTTAAGTGTCTTTTAGCCATTTTAGATTCCTCTGTTGAGAGTTCTCTGTTTAGGTCTGTACTCTATTTTTTTTATTTTATTATGTGATGTTTTGGTGTCCAATTTCTTGAGTTCTTTGTATGTTTTGGAGATCAGTTCTATGTCCTATGTGGGGTTGGTGAAGGCTTTTTCCCATTCTGTAGGCTGCCATTTTGTCTTGTTGACCGTGTCCTTTGTTTTACAGAAATTTTTCAGTTCCAGGAGGTTCCATTTATTAATTGTTTCTCTCAGTGTCTGTGCTACTGGGGTTATATTTAGGAAGTGGTCTCTTGTAGTGGCCTTTGCTTTTAATTCCAGCTCTTGGGAGGCAAAGGAATGATATCTCGTGAGCTGGAGGCCAGCCTGATGTATATGGTGAGCTCCAGGCCAGTTGGAAGTACACAGTCAGACCCTTCTCAAAAAACAAAACAAGGAAGCCAGAGCAATGTCTCAGTGGTTAAGAGCAATGGTTGTTCTTCCAGAAGACCCTAGTTCAATTTTAGCACTGATACAGTGGCTAACAACCATTTGTAACTCCAGCCCTAGGGGATCTGAGCTTCTGGCTTCTGTTGGCCCCAGGCATGCAAGTGGTACACAGATATATGTGAAGACAAAACACTCATATACATAAAAATAAAACAGACTGAAAAATTCTAAAACAAAACAGACAACAACAGAAACAAAGTCAGGAGCTCAAGAGCCTGGGGTGTTTGCTCGTTAGCGGTAAATGCTTGCTAGGCTGTATAAAGCCCTAGGTCAGATCCCCTCTTGGTTTCTCTTCTGAAAGTCATTTCTGTAAATCTGTTTCGTTCTTGGGGGTGTGGAGGGGAGGCAAATATTGTATTTGCCACTTAAGGATTAAAAGACTTAATTTGCTCAAATTCAACGCAGAGAGCCAGATACAGACAGAAGAGATTTCTTTTGTAAGTTTGTGGTCCGGAGGAACTGAGCGCGCGCAAAGTCGGCTCTCTTGAGGAAATACAAAGGATAGGAGCGTGCTGGTGGAAGGGGAGGCAACTGTGTCTGTCTCCGGACACCAAGGAAGCCAGAGTCCACCGAAGGCTACAGAGAGAAAGTGATCAAGCTGAACTGGAAAACAGATATGCGCTCAAGACTACCGCAGTGGCGTTCCTCGGCCTCCGCGGGTGACGCACCTTCTTCCGCCTCCTCTAGTAGTATCCTTTTCTCAGCTCGCTCCCGGCTTCTCTCTAATGCCAAGGTTTCTCCAAATGGGAGGCGGGGTCTTGGAGTCCCCAGTCTAAGGTTGGGGAAAGGAACCTCTAGTCTACTGTGAGGAGGCTTCGGTCTCGGGGAGAACCCCGGAGATCCTGGATGGAGGGTGAAGTATCTGGAGCCTGGAATAGGGGAAGGGTCTTGTAGACCAAGAGGAGTTCCTCAACCAGTCAGGAGGGGATAGAGAGTCTCTCAGAGGGAATGGCGGGCAGGACTTCATTGGTTCCAGGGGCTGGGCTCAGGAACGGGCGCGAGCTCCCAAAAACCTCTTGGCAGCTCTGATACAATTAGGCTAAGCCGCAGGAGGCGGAGCCTCGGAGTAAGGCGGGGTCCTTAGGGGGCGGGTCTAGGGGGCGGGGCGTTGGGCAGGGGGTGGAGCTTGGAGGTTTGTGTGCTCAACCCTCCCTCCTCCGGGCCCCGCGTGTCCCCGTGACGAGGCTGCACCGAGCAGCCGCGGGCTGAGTCCATCCCGCCGCATCAGTCCCGGGGTGCAGCCAGGGTGAGGTGGGTGGGGGCGAGCAGCGCACAGAGAGCCCTGAGCGCCTCCAGGTGAGGTCGGAGAGGTGGAGGGATGGGGAGGCGGGGGCTGTGCCGGGAGTGTGCGGGGGGCGTGTTTGCGTATCTGGTGGCAGTGAGGTTAGAGGAGCGGGTCTGAGGGCTAGCGCCCGAGGCTGTTAGCGCGTGGGCGCGTCCCTGCGGTAGCAGGTCTGGGTTTGCTGCGCCCGTCTGGGCACTTCCCGCGGTGCTAGGGGTGTGCGGGACTGTGTGTGTGTGTGTGTGTGTGTGTGTGTGTGTGTGTGTGTGCGCGCGCGCGCGCGCGCGCGTGTTTGCGAGGGGCCACCGGGTTGTGTATCTGCGTATGCGCTGGGCAGTCATTGTGCCCGTCCCGAGCCGGGGGTGCGGGCCTGCCTCAGCGCAGACCATCCTGCCTTGGGGTTGTTAAATAGGCAGCCTGCGGGGGACCCGCTCTGCTGCAGGGGGAACCCGATTGAAGAGTGCCGCCCCCACAGGCCTCCGGAGACCAGAGCGGCCTGAGGACCGCGGACAGACACCTGAGGGAGGGAAGGAGAGAGGGAGAGAGGGATGGAGGGACGGAGGGAGCGAGGGAGGTGGTGTTGCGCACCGGGAAGGATCTGGAGGCCTGCCTGCAGTGCCAGGCCAAGATGGGGAGACTGAGTGAGGTGAATGACAGGCAAGCGGACATAGGAAGGCAGGTTGATAGGGGAGGGGAGAATCGAGTGTGGGAAGAGAAAAGGCAGAAAAGGACAGTGCTGGGAGGACAGAGAGTCATTGGGGACGGACTGACCGACAGAGGCCTAGACCTGCAATGGGGCAGAAAGATTAACGTGAACACATAGATAGAAGAACCTGTCAGAGGGAGTAACTGGGGTCTTGGGGTTAAGAGCTTAAGACAGGAACTAAGTCTGAGAGGTAAGGTCCCTTAAGTCCTGGCTGCTCGTCTTCCAGGCATATTCCATCCAAAGTTGGTATATTCCACTGGCCCCATCAAATATCCTGACCCTCTGATTTCGCTGTTCTTTCTTGACCTTTCTCATCAGTCTCCCTTCTTGGTATCCCAGCAATGCCATTGTTTAGGGGAGACAGAGTAGTTATAGTAACAAGTGTTGAAGGGCCACTCTTGCCGTGGTCTTGCAGCTAGCCTGAGCTTGAGAGGAGCTGGGTGGGGCGCTGCAGAGTTCTTTTCTCCTCTCCCACTCTGCTCAGAATGGTGCTGGAAGGAAACCCTGACGTGGGATCCCCTCGAACCTTGGACCTCCAGCACCCAGGGAACAAGGGCTCTTGCATCCTCTCTTCTTCTGGTGAAGACGCACTGCCAGGCGAGGAACCCATCAAGTATGGTGAACTCATCGTCCTGGGGTGAGCCTCCCTAGTTCAGGAGTGATGGACCTTGGGTAACCCCTTCCTTGGGTCAACCAAAACAACTATGGGTACCAGCTGTCCTCAGGACTCTTGGCTCTTTGTTTCTTGTTACCTTTCCAGATGAAAGACAAAATTGACCAAACCCTTATCCATTCATAATTACATGGTCTTTCTGCTTCTCATAAAATTCCTGAGACAATTCTTAACTGCTTACCAGAGTTTCTAATTAGATGAGAAAGGGTCTGTACTGTGCGTAGGTGTGGAGCAAGAACTCTGATGCTGAACAGAACTCCTTCGTCCCAATTCTACTTCTGCAAGGTGCCAAACTTTCCTGTGCCTCCGTTTCCCCATTCTGAAGACAGGGTTGACACTCAATCATACCCCCCAAAGGTTATCTGAGGAAGAGACTTTTGTAAAGGACATAGACCAAGCGTCTGGGAGGCAGGCAGTGCCAACCTTTTCCTGGACATTATTTCATTTCAATCTTCACAAAGATGTTGTGAGGAAGGAAGTGAGGAAACCGAGGCTCAGAGAAGGGAAGTGACTGGCCCAAGGGCGCACAGCTGGTAAGTGGCAGGGCTGGGATTTGAACTCAGGTCTTCCTAACTGTAGATCTAGCACACTGTCAGTAAGCTGCAACTCACTCTTGTGCTACAGATGAGAAAGTGGAGGCTATGAGAGAGGAATTTATGGGCCCTGATGGCTGGACAGCCCCCCACCCCCGTCCTTACCTGCACTTCCCATGAAACTCTTCCCCCAGACACAGATGCTTCTTTCTCTCCGTGTCTTTGACCTCGTTTCTGCCCTGAAGACACGACTTGATCGGCTGTAGGTTCATGATGGAGAGTAACAATACATAGCAGTGGCTGTTGTCTGGTGACTTGTATGTGCCACCTCACCTTCCTTTAAATAACAATACTCGCTCAGTCATATCAAGAGCTTGCTATCACCATGCCAAACTCTGTCAAGCATTTTACAGTGTTTTATCTTGTTTGAGTCTCAGAATCCACCTTTTGAGTAGGTCTTGACAAATGAGCCCCATTTCAGAGAGGTATGGCAGGAGCCAGGATGTGTGTATGCCAGTTCCTGTGTGTCTCAGCCTGCATCCCGATCTGTCCCCCTTCTAGCCCTGCCTCTGCCCATTCAGGAAGTGTTCAGAAAGGTAAAATAGATGCTTCTCACCAGGGTGCTCACTTCTGAAAAGCAATTGCTTTGTGTCCAGACCAAAGGAAAAGCTGTGTTTTTATCTGTGCAAGGTCAGGGTCGGAGAAGACTGCAGACTCAGAGGAGGGGCCTGTTGACAGCCCTCTGCCCTGAGCAGCTCAGGGAAGCCTCACTTAGGCTGTGTGTCAGGGCTGGAGAACACACGGAAGTCACACATGGAGTCAGGTGGAGTGGCACTCACCTCTGATCCCAGCACTCAGGAGGTAGAGGTAGGGAGGCCAACTTGGGTTACATGAGACCTTGTCCCCAAATTAACAAAAAGAAGAAAGAGGGAATGAAGAATAGAAGGGGAGGAGAGAGAAAAGAAGCTGTGAGATACTGGAGGAACCTTCCATCTGGCGAGGCAGAATCTCTGAATGGGTCTAGAGAATATAGATTTTTAACAGACACACTAAATTCTAATTGGTCCTTGTATTTGGCATTTTTTTTCTTGAGACAGGGTCTCACATAGCTCAGGCTGGACTCCACCTGCTTCCCTAAGTATCTGAGAATGACCTTGACTCCCGATCTTCATTCTTCCAAATTCTGAGATTACAGGCATCTGCCACCAGAGTGCATTTATGTGTTGCTAGGAATTGAACCCAGAGCATTGTATACGCTAGAAAGTCTCCACCCACTAAGCTTCATTCCCAGCCCTGTATTTGGCAACTAATTCCCTTTTCCAAGGCTTTCTATGACTCCCCACTACTTACAGGAAACCTTCTTAGCTTGGTATTCATATCATCACACTATGCTTTACCACCAAGTCTCAAAGGCTGTCCTCACTATAGCCTGCCAGTCTTAGGGCTTTGGCTCAGAGTCCTATAGGTTGAAGGACTTTGGCAAGTCTAGGTGGAATATGACTACAATCTGGCTTCTTTTGACTTGTCTAATTTATAAAATAGGAAGAAAGACACTTCCCTGGCAGGACATTTCACACATTCCATTAGGTAATGAAAAACATGAAGGACCAAGAACGGAGGCAGCAGCCATGGCAGCAGTCAAGCCAATGAGTCACCTCCTCTTTACTTCTTATGGTCATCCCCCTGAGTAAAAGCTGGAAAGGAAGCTGGAAGCCAGACATTTGTGGAGATGATGGTGGGGGGGTGGCATTAGAAGCTGGTTTCTTCCCTGCCTGGTCATTTGTGGTAGTTGCTTGACGAATGATCCCCTGCTGCAGAGGTCTTTCCAGCCTTCGGGGCCCAGGGTAGGTGTTTGCTCCCAGAATCTCAGCCCTGGGTTCTTATCCCAGCTCCTGCCACTGGGGCTTGAGTGTGCTTGACTTGTGCCTGGGTCATGGCAGGTGGTTCCTCCACTGAGGGCACAAACATGACTGTGAAACATCACCTCTACGATCCTAGCATCTGCTGTCAAAGCTGAGGCATCCGGGAACACTTGGCTCATTGCAGGAGGGACCCCACTGCCTGCCCCTCAATGCAGCCATTTGCTGTTCTGGGCTCTTGTAGCTTTGGGTAGTTCTAGCATTTGTTTATCAAGGTAGAGCCTGCTCTGAGCTGGCAGTTTCCTCCAGGTCTCCTAGGGGCTCACTCTCTTCTTTGTCTTCTCCCACTGTCTCTCCCCTCACATCCACAGCTACAATGGGTGTCTGGCAAGTGGGGACAAGGGCCGCCGCCGAAGCCGCCTGGCACTGAACCGCCGGCCTCATGCCAACGGAGTGAAGCCAGATGTCATGCACCACATCTCCACACCACTCGTCTCCAAGGCAAGCTGCTTATCCCAGTGGAATGGATGCCATCCTGTCCTGTGTGCCCGGGCCCAGGTCTTCAGTCTTCCTAGACCTACCTGACCATGGCCCTTCTGGAGCAGGGGCTCCACTCTGTCACTTCTCACTCACTGCCTATTAGCTCAGCAAAGAAATAGTAATGACGGGCTGGAGAGATGGCGGCTCAGTAGGGTAAGAGGGCTGGCTGTGCAAGCGTGAAGATTTGAGTTTGGTTCCCCAGCACTCATGAACTAAAAACACACGTGCCTGTAACCCTGACACCACTGAGGGCAAAGACAGGAGGATTGCTAGGCTTGCCCACCATCATCCTAACAAGCTCCAGGTTCAGTGAGAGACATAAATCAGAGGGATAAGAGGACACCCGATGGCCTTTGTGGGCACATGACCTGTGCACACACGTGCACACCACAGACACATCCCAAAATGGTGCTAATGGATATTCTCTGCAGTGTGCCCACTCTTTAACAGCCTTCAGAATGTTTCCTTCACTGCCATTCCCCATTCATTGGTTGGAAATTTTACTCATTTAAAATTTTTAGATTTATTTGTATGTATATAGATGTTTTGCCCACAGGAGTGTCTATACACCATGAGCATGCAGTGCCTGGGGAGGACAGAAGAAGGTGTTGGATACCTTGGGACTGGATTTACAAACCCTGTGAGCTGCCATATTGGTGTTTGCAATCAAACCTGGGCCCACTGCAAGAGCAGCAAGTCCTCTTAATCACTGGGCCATCTCTCCAGCACCTTTCACCATTATTTTAGAGGTAGCTAAGGCTCCATGAGTGGGATGTGATGTTCACACAATGTATTAGTCAGGGTTCCCTAGAAAAACTGAACTCATAGAATGAAACTCTGCCTACCTACATACCTCTCCGTCTATGAATAAATACATGGGATATTTATTAAAATGGCTTACAGACTATGGTCCAGCTAGCTCAACAATGGCGGTCTACCAATGGAAGGGTCAAGAATCCAATAGTTGTTCAGTCTATGAGGCTGGATGTCTCAGCTGATCTTCAATATACTCTGGAATCCGGAAGAAGTGAGCTCTAATGCCATTGAAGGAATGGACCTGCAGTGACTGCAGTGAGAGGGAGAGCGAGAGCCTCCTTCCATGGCCTTACCTAGGCTGCCAGCAGGTGTGGCCCAAATTAAAGGTGGCTCTTCCTGCCTGAAAAAAATCTTGATTAAAGGTTTATCTCCCCACCTCAGATATCTGGATTAAAAATGGGTCTTCTCACTTCGATAATTTAATTAATCAAAAATCCCTCACAGGTGTGCCTAGTTGTTTGGGTTGTGGTTAATTCCAGATATAGTTAAGTTGACAACCAAGAACAGTCATCCACACACAATACCAAAGAGAAAACTTTGACTTAAGGGGGTTGGCATGGAAGTTAAGTCTCTGTTGTTTCCAGCTGTGTGCCTAAGGGCCAGTTCTTGTCTCTGACCTGCAAGTCCCAACTAGCACATTTTTGAGATAGCTAGGGGGTTAAACAAGAGAACCAGCTCCTTCTATGCAGTCTCCTCTGCAGAGGATGGAGCCGCCCCTTTCTGGGAGTGGCTACTGGGTCTTGAGCTGGCCTCTGGCTCAGACGTTTACACCTCTCTTGTACCCTGGGAAGTGACTGCCTTCTCTCCACCAGGCCCTGAGTAACCGAGGCCAGCATAGCATCTCGTACACACTGTCCCGGAGCCACTCGGTCATAGTGGAGTACACACATGACAGCGACACAGACATGTTCCAGGTATGTCCAGTCTCCCAGTCTCTGCTCTGCAGGTGTTCAGGGTCAGACCATGAGCCCAGAGACCCTGGGACAGGAGTTTCTGACCACTCATTGCAGTGGACTGCCCTTCAGATGAGAAGCAGGATGTGTCAGGCTGGGCTGCTGACTTTGCAGTCTGTAGCCAGTCAGCAGCCCTCAGCATCAGGACACCTAGAGGTGATGTACAGCTTTGGAATTCAGAGGATAGGGGTAATTCTCATCATGCCTAGGTTCAGCTCTGTGCACTTACCATTGGGTGACTTTGGGCAAGAGTCATTTAACATCTCTGAGTCTTATTTTCTCATCTGTAAAATGAGTCTCATAGTAGCTTCCCCCATGGGAAGAGAAACTGAGGTCTTGTATAAAATGCCTAGGTTAGGCCTAGAGAGAGTTTAAGAGCACCTTTTGCTCCTGCAAAGAACTCAGGTTCAGCTCCCAGCACCCACATCAGCTGGCTTCAGTGGCCTGTAACTCAGATTCAGGGGAATCGATGCCCTCTGGCCCCCATAGGCTCTTGCACACATGTGCAATTAAGTCATTCAGGCACACATACAAATACAAAAATAAGTGGGTGTGGTAGCTTAGACTTTAATCCTAGCACTTTGGAGGTGTAAAAAGGTGAATTTGAGACCAGCTTGATCTACATAGCAAGTTCCAGGCCAGTGAAGGCTCTATAGTAAGACCCTACTTGACAGCAACAACAAAAATCTCTTTATTTATTCATTTATGTGATTTTTTTTGAGACAGGGTTTCTCTGTAGTTTTTGGGTTTTTTTTTTTGAGCCTGTCCTGGAACTAACTCTTGTAGACCAGGTTGGCCTCAAACTCACAGAGATCCACCTGCCTCTGACTCCCGAGTGCTGGGTTTAAAGGTGTGCGCCACCATCACCACCCGGCAACAACAACAATCTTTAAAGATGCATTCTTACTAAAGTTTAATTTGCTGTTACTATTCCAGGGTGTCACCTTTTAATGGGTCTATCAGCAGATGAGCTGATTCTTCCTGAGTGGGGTGTTTCTCAGAGCTATGGGGCCACAGAGCAGACGCTTCTTCATGCCTCAGCTGATCAGATGTAGAGACCCTTCATACAAGCCCAAAGGACTTAGAGTAGTTTCTCACTTGTGAGTTGTGACCCCTTTGGGGTTGCATATCAGATAACTACATTACGATTCATAATAGTAGCATAATTACTGTTATGAAGTAGCAACGAAATAATTTTATGGTTGGGGGTCACCACAACGCGAGGAACTGTATTAAAGGGTCACAGCATTAGGAAGGTTGAGAGCCACTGCCCTGGAGAGTTGTGGTGTGCTACCCTCTTTGGGTGTTTGGTGGCTGCTGAGACACTGGGTGAGAAGCCTATGAGATCCACCTGTACACACGTGCTTGTCCTCCTTTCCTTGTAGATTGGCCGCTCTACCGAAAACATGATTGACTTTGTGGTAACAGACACATCTCCTGGCGGAGGAGCCACAGAGGGCCCTTCCACCCAAAGTACCATCTCCCGCTATGCCTGCCGCATCCTCTGTGACCGCCGGCCACCCTATACTGCCCGCATCTATGCTGCTGGCTTCGATGCCTCTAGCAACATTTTTCTTGGAGTGAGTGAGCCCCCAGCAGGGTTTACCCTTCCACAGAGTAAGCTGATGGGAGGGAGGCTAGAGGGCTGCTGCAGTCCAGGGTGAGGGGCCTTTGCAGCCCAGGGTGAGAGGCCTCTGCAGCCTAGGGTGAGGGGCCGCTGCAACCCAGGGTGAGAGGCCAGTGAAACCTAGGGTGAGGGGCCGCGGCGTCACTCTCCTACGGCTTAGCAGCCCACTTCTCAAAGAAGCAAAGTGGGGTACAAAGAGGTCAGGTGGTACCCAGGACCTCTCTGGGAAACTCCAGGCCTCGAAGGTGGGGGGATAACACCTCTGGCAAGCAGCTTTTTGGGAGGTCCTGGAGTTGTGAGCTTATTTTTCATGTGGTCCTAGGAGCGGGCAGCCAAATGGAGGACTCCTGATGGTCTGATGGACGGCCTGACAACCAACGGGGTCCTGGTGATGCACCCAGCTGGTGGCTTCTCCGAGGACTCTGCCCCAGGTGTCTGGAGGGAGATTTCTGTCTGCGGGAATGTGTACACATTGCGGGATAGCCGCTCAGCCCAGCAGCGGGGGAAGCTGGTAGGTGGCCTCCTCCATTTCTTCCCACCCTTCTCAGGCCCTTATAATCAGTTCATTGCCTTTCCAAGCTGGGAGATGATCAATGGTACTTCTCTCCAAGAGAGTCCTGCTAGGCTCTGTTTGGTGAGCCCCAGGCTCAGTGTGTTCTTGACGCTTGTCACCTACCCCATAGACAGGGCCAGAGCAAGGCCCCTAGGCATAGTTTCATCCTGCTGGGGATCCAGCAGGTGATATGAAATAGAACTACAAAAATGCAGTGTGTAGAGCCTGCCTCTGTAGGCTCTGAGGCTGGGAAAATCATATCCTCTTCCAAGGGTGACACTTGTTCTGTGTATGTGCAGTTTATAGCCCAGAGTGTTGGCAGCTTATACTGTGTCTGTCGCATAGGGGAGGTTTAGCGCTTTATTCTTCCCCAGCAGTAAATGACTTTTGGAATAGTTATACTGCTGGTCCAGAACTACCCCTCTAGTGCTATTGGGAGCTGGTAGTAAGTGATAGGAATCATAGGGCCATATAGCTGTATTCCTTGACTTCTGGACCACACAGAATTCTCCCCAGGTGTTGGCACATGAGAAGGTTGTGAGTTCTAGGCCAGCCTGGGCACATAGTAAGAGCCTGTCTCAAAATCAAACCAGGAACTAGAGCGATGGCCCAGTGGTAAAAGCACTAGCTATTCTTTCTTAAGACCCAGGTTTGATTCCTAGCATCCACATGGCTGCTTACATCCGTAACTCCATCACCCTCTTCTGGCCTCTGTGGGCACCAGACATATGTATGGTACATAGTATACATGCAGACAAAACACTCATAAAATTAAACAAAACGAAAAGCAAACCACACACGTGAATGTGACGTGGACGTATACTTGTCATGTGCCCACTGCATACCAGACATCATTCCATGTTTTTGTCTGGATGGCTTATTTAGTCTTCGCAAGGCCCACTTGAGAAATGGAATCTATTTTGAGGCCCAGGAGACCAAAACTCAGAAATTAAATTATTCTCTTAGCTGAGTAAGTGAATGGCAAGACCAGGATTTGAACCCAGGCTCCTTCTAGAGTTCTTGCTGTGATCCATGACCCTTAGGACAGCTGCTTTGGGCTGGGTAGCCAGTATTCACCATGGGACGTATTTGCTCTCTCTGCTACATCCTACTTCTGCCATTATGGGAGAGATTTGGAAAACTTTGAAGAAAAACATTGCTTTGGGTCAGACTTTCAGGTTTGACCTGCGAAGATACCAGAGCCCAGGTCCTACTGAGAACAGGGGCTGTCTGTACTTGGTGGCATCTGTCTTCCTTGTGTCAGCTGGCCTGCTGACCTAGGGTGTTCTCTCCAGGGAATGTCACTGGCCAGATAGGTGGCTTCTCTGGGGTGAGGCTGCCTGATGGCAGGGCCAGAGAGCTCTTGGGCTAAGGCCTTCTGCTGCCTCCGGCAGGTGGAAAACGAATCCAACGTCCTGCAAGATGGTTCGCTCATCGACCTATGTGGGGCCACGCTGCTGTGGCGCACTCCAGCAGGGTTGCTGAGGGCACCCACACTGAAACAACTGGAGGCCCAGCGACAGGAGGCCAACGCAGCACGGCCCCAGTGTCCTGTGGGCCTCAGCACCTTGGCCTTCCCCAGTCCAGCCCGTGGCCGCACAGCACCTGACAAGCAACAGCCCTGGGTCTACGTCCGTTGTGGTCATGTCCATGGCTACCATGGTTGGGGCTGCCGGAGGGAGCGAGGCCCTCAAGAGCGTGAGTGTCCTCTTTGCCGCCTTGTGGGACCCTATGTGCCCCTGTGGCTCGGCCAGGAGGCTGGTCTCTGCCTGGACCCTGGGCCACCCAGCCACGCTTTTGCACCCTGTGGCCATGTCTGTTCTGAGAAGACTGCCCGTTACTGGGCCCAGACGCCATTGCCGCATGGCACCCATGCATTCCATGCAGCCTGCCCCTTTTGTGGGGCTTGGCTCACTGGTGAGCATGGCTGTGTCCGCCTAATTTTCCAGGGGCCACTGGACTAGGCTCTCCAGGGTCCTTGCTGCCATGCCTGCCAACCCACCCGGGTCCCCCCTCTCCTGCCGTTCAGAGGGAGCTCTGCATATGGGACTGTGCCTGCTGGCAATAGCCACACCAGTTGGACACATTGGATGGGCTATGACTCTCCCCTCAACTCTAACCTCTAAGAGGATCCCTGAGATCTCTATCCCAGTCATACTGATGGGGACTTTAGCACCAGCTCTGCCCCAGGCTGATGGAGGGTGCCCCATGCCTCTGCCCTTCCTGGGGTATCCTACATTATGCTGCCTACACTATGCCCCTGGGGGAGTGAAGGGGCCATGGCCCCTGACTTCCAGCTTAGTCCGGTTATGCCCTGAACCTGTCAATCCAGTAACAGCTATTCCTTCCTCCTGCTGCTGCCCTGGGTTGCTCTATAAATCCGCTCAGCTGCCCTCACAGATCCACGTGTCCCACATGCATGCAATGTCTCCAGCCCTCTGAGTACTGAATGGGCCGGCAGTCTGAGGTCAGCATTTGCAGGCAGGATAGCCCCAAATGGAGGTCACGTGGGCAGTCAGGTTCTCCACCGGGTGGAGTTCACAGCCTGGTGGAGGGTAGACTGCCTCGCGGGTGTTAGGACCAGCGAGTTCTAGGTTCTAGGGCTAGAGAACAGCACTTGATGGATTTGGGAAAGTAAAAGGCTTCGTCGAGATGGCAGCGCAGGGGCTCGGCCTCCATGCTAGCTTTGACTTTTCCAGGCCCACAAGGTAAGGGCTCTGTACCCTCTCCGCACGGACTCAGGGTAAGGAAGCAGGGATGGAGAAACAGATTAAGGGATGCTGGAGCATAGGGTGTGGTCATGCTTGGTGGAGAATTCAGATCCTCATTTGTGAACAATCAGGAGTCAGCTCCATGGCACTGGCTCTGACCCAAGGGCTACCAACACTGAATAGTCACTGCGTGCCCCATCCCATCCTAACAATCACTTCAGCAGTGTTCCTGGAACCCTCGCTAGGTACCAGGACTCTGCCTCTCGAAGATTTGGTTATTTGATCCCCACAGTGATCCAGGAAGAGAGGTGTCCCCACTTAGGTTGGTAGAAAGATAAAGTTACAATCTAGTTGCAAGGGGTTATGGGAAGCCACACCTACCCATCAGACCATACTAAGGCTGGGCAGGATAGAGGTAAGGCAGTTTAGAATCTGTTTCATGGAAAAGCTGAACAGGTAGATGGATATATATCCACCTGCTCAGTGTCCAGCCCCATGTGTACCCCAGCAATAAACAAGGGCTCCCACATAGAGGAGGCCCTGTGGGACTGATGCCAGAAGCTGATCACCACATCCTGCTGGCCACCTGCGCAACAAGGCGTTGCCCCGAGAACTCTAGACGGCCTGAAACCAGAGCCACATCTTGATTGGCAGACATTGCAGAGGCAGGATGGAGTTTGGAGGGCAGCGGCATAGAAGAGCAGGGAAAGTGCCTAACAACCAGTATCCGTAGAGAAAGAGTGATGGAACCAGGGCTGTAGGCTGAGACCTGGTGGACCTTGGTGACTGTGGAAGTCAAGTCAGCGCCAACCCCTCCCTACTCCTCCGGGTGGTGAGTCAGGTCTTCCTGTGAACCAGGGACCCAGCTGGGGTTTCCCCGATCATTTAAAGGAAAGTGAACCAGGAAAATAGGTAGATAGACTAAAGAGAAATAAAAGGGGGTGGCTCTGAGTGTAGGTGTGACCTTGTCCTCAGTGCAGGATAGATCCACAGCTTCAGGGAGTCGCAGATCCCACAAGAACCAGGCTTGGGCTATTGAGAGGACAGAAGGCAGCCTTCCCTCAGACGAGTGTCACAGCTACCGTGGGATGCATGGCAGAAGGGGGGTGCCACAGTGTATGAGGAACATTTCAGCCCTACCCCCAAACACTAGAAATGAACCTCTGCCCAGTTCTTGCTAATGCTCCTGTTGGGGACCAGGCAGGGGAGCATATTCTTATCTCTGGTTTTGAATCTCAGACTCTGGGAGGAGGGATGAACGAAAGGTACTTGCCTGGGCTCTGGGAAGAACTCAGGCTGCTGGTGGGAGCCAGCCCTCGAGCTTCAGATTCCACAACTGTTAGGTGGAATGACAGTCTCTAAGGCCAGGCTTGGTGGCCTGTGCTTGCAATCCCAGCATTTGGTAGGGTAAGGAAGGAGGAACATTGTGTGTTTATTGCTAGCCTGAGCTACATGGCAAGATCCTGTCTCAAACAAACAAAAACAAAGAATATTTTGTTCACATACAGAAAAGCCATGACCCATTAATAGAATGTGCTTCGGTCAGAGAGAGAGAGAGAGAGAGAGAGAGAGAGAGCAAGCAAGCTGGGGCAGGGGGAGGAAACGGTGTAGTGGGAGGTCTTAGGAAAGCAAAGATCCTCTTAGTCTAAGTTTTCCCACCTGTGCAATTGATACAACAGTGATATGCTATCTCAGGGGTTTTGCAAGAATTAAATGAGATTCTATATGGCAAGCTGCTGGTAAAGGACTTCATTCAATAAGTTCTCCTATTAATTGAGATTATAAAATGGCACCATGCAGCTTGGTTGGGGGTCTTGGGTACTGGGATCCTTCACTTGCCGGAGCTACCCCTTGGTTGCTATGGACAGCTCTATCTCTCCTACGTGGTTATGGTTACACCAACTTCATCTGAGTCAGTCCACTTTATACCTATTTTAAAACCCAAAAACAATACCTAAAAACAATGAAAAAAAGGAAAAGGAGAGAAGGAGAGTGTCCTCAGGACATAAACATTTTTACAGGATCCCTTCTTACAATAATGTGCACCAATCAGAGCCAACAGCTACTAGCGTTGTGGTGGCAAGCCCCTCTTGGGAACCTTTGTGAAGGAGAAACCGGTGCCTGTACTGGACGTCAGTTACGTCGGGCTCTATACATGGGCGTGGCAAGGAGAGCATGTTGGATTTCACTCCCTAGACACTACCTTCTACACAACCGTAGGGGGCAGCACTATCCCTTGACGGTCTCCCCTCGGAGCAGGTTCACTTAGTCCTGAAGTAAAGCTGAGAGAGCCCAAATGACCCACCTAAAGTCACTTAACTGGAAGGTGACAAAAGTCTGATTTGACCTTAGGCAATGTGTGTCAGCTCCCAGTCTAACCCAAGGTTTTTACGACATTTTTCTCGTCAGTCAGCAGGAACTTTCACACACTACTAGAAGTCACTCAGACAGACATCACCCTGACTAGTAAAAGCGGACAGCATGTTTGCCTGCATCCTGGGCTGCCTCTGAGTAGCCGGAGGCTGCTTTCCTAGTTTGTCCGGTGAACGGCTGCACCAAGAAAATGCCAGCTCTTTGCTGGCCTCGTTTTCGCGTTGGTTGAGAAAAGTGGGGCTTCGCTTGTTTAAGGGTGGCTTCCAGGCCCACGGCGAGCCAGTGAAGCTCCTGTACCATTTTTCTGCACTCCTGGGTGGATGGAACTACTTCTGCTCTGCCGGAGCTTCCTCGCATGTAGCCGCCACTCTTTGCAACAGTTTTGCAGTCTTCAAATATAATCCCCCAAATCCCAAATCCAGAGAGGAGTGGGGGGATCCACATTGCTACGCTCTTCTCTAAATGCCTGTTACTAACCGCTAAACCCAGGTAGGAGTGACACTGGAGGTGAAACCCCAAAGAGACCACAGTTTCCAGCTACATGTGGGTGGAGGCTACCGATGTATAGGGACCCTGGGTTTGGGGACCTTGTCAGTTCCCTCGGTTTGCACCAGGCAGCAGCCACGTGGGTTACCGAGACACCAAACCACTTCCCCCATTCGCCACTCCTCCCAGCGATCATGGCCAGCGGACAAAAGGCCAAGGCCTCAGGGCCCTTCTAAGCAAGCACCACCCATAGCGGCCGGGGGCGGGGAGTAGATGAGGGAGGTACTGTCCTCGGCTCGTGTACTGGCTGGAGTCGCCGCCCATCTATCCCAGAGGCCAGACAATTGGTTGGTGGGGGCGGAGCTTGTAAAAATCCCATGAATGGGGGGGGGAGCCGGAAGCAGGAAGTGAGTTTGCGAACGGAGCAGCTGCAGCAGGTGAGGTGCGGTGCCCTGGTTTTGGGGTCACGGTGTATCATCTTCAGGGGATCAGAGCGTGGCCGGGCTGTGCGCGCAAGATCATCCTCGTTCTGTCCATCCTTCAGTGCCTCTTCCAAACCTCCCTCTGCTTTTGGGCCAAGAAGGGTTTCCGGGCTGTAAAGAGTTAACACCCCTTTCCGAGCCCCGTCGACTGGGTTGTTGGGGCGGCGCTGCGCGAATGGGGAACAGGGAGGGTGGAAACGCGTGCTTAGTCGGGGGTGGGGCGTGGAGAATGTGGTGTATTGGGAATTCCCTGGGTCCCATCTGGGCTGCAAAGCTTTGGATAAGTTGCTTGTTTTCCAAGTGTCAGGGTCTATCTGGAAAATGGGTTGTGACGTTGTACAGTTTCCCAGGCGTAGCAACAGAAGAAAGCAGGATAATGAAGGGCTGAAGAAAAGAGAGGAGCTTTGGGGCAGATTCTGGGAAGGAAAAGCATGCAAGAAACATTACTACTCTTTTTGATTTACTTGTTTTTGACAGGGTTTCAAGTACCCTAGCCTGGCCTTGGACTGTACCCAGGGCCTGGTTAGCGCTAGGGCTAGGCAAACACTACCGACTGAGTTACATTCCTGCCTCCGGAGGTTGCCTCTTCTAATTTGCATACCCAGCTGTTGAGCTTGGTGACATCTTCATATCAGTTTTACAGAGGAGGAAAGAGAGGTGCAGGAAAGTGAAGTGGCTGACTTGGGTTTTAGAACTCTTTGCTGGAGCAGATTGGAGCAGGAGTGATAGGAAGCCAGACACCTGGCCTTTGTCAGTGGTGATGGGCTGGAGATGGGAGTTCTAGACCAAGAGGCCAGGATTCCTGAGAGGGTGGAGGTTCGACTGGGAGTGACCTGGCTGTGAGTCTAGCAATGATGGTTTTTCCTGCTGATTCCTCCTCTGTATCATTAGGAAAAAGTCTTTGTTATCTTTGAGCCTCAGTTTCCCCATCTGTAATATGAGGTAGTTGGATTCAGACTTTAAGTCTGAGAGGCCACAGGCCCAAACGGGCCCACTAAGTATTTGAGTCTTTGAATTTCAGTTTATCAGGTGAATGCATGCTAGTGGATTGCTCCCTCCTGGGCTTTTGGGTGGAAGAAGTTAATTCACGAGAGTTCAGATGTGAAGATGATGTGTTCTCTGAGATGGTTGTGATGTGTCCTTGCAGGGCCCATGGCAGATACCCAGTACATCCTGCCCAATGACATCGGCGTGTCTAGCCTGGACTGCCGTGAGGCCTTCCGTCTGCTGTCACCCACAGAGCGCCTTTATGCCCATCACCTGTCCAGGGCTGCTTGGTACGGAGGCCTGGCTGTGCTGCTCCAAACCTCCCCTGAAGCCCCCTACATCTATGCCCTGCTTAGCCGCCTCTTCCGTGCTCAGGACCCTGACCAGCTGCGCCAACATGCCCTGGCTGAGGGCCTTACTGAAGAAGAGTACCAGGTCGGTTCTCACAGGCAAGCCTGGTTTTCTGAGGGGCTTCTAGAAGGGTGTGAAGAACCAAGGGGCACAGATCTCTCTCTCCAGCTAGATAGAGGATTAGACTAATGGTTGCGGGCTGAAATGCACACACGCATGCATGCTCACATGCACACCTACCTGAAGCCTCAAACTTGTCATCTGTAGAATATGCACATGGTTTTTGCATGGTCTGTACATGAATGCACATGGTATGCACATATATTGTGGTGACCTACTTAGAACAGTGCCTGGTTCAAGAGGAAGCCAAGCCAAGCATAATGGCACATGCCATTAATTCCAGCACTCTAGAGTATGAGGTGGGAAGATTGTTGTGAGTTTGAGACCAGCCTAGGTACCATAGTTCTCAGCAGTCTGCAGTGATTGTACAAAGGAATTCACAGCTGATATTGAGAAGACAGAAAGGCAGCCTGGGTATAAATCAGGAAGTTTGAGTTACTCTTCTGCATAGTGAGGAAGCTGGGGAGGATGTCCTATTTGTCCCCTACTTGTCTGTAGATGTATTAGCCAAATAACACACTAATTCTTAGTGCATTACAGCGGTTCAGAAACATCCAAAGCACAAAAGTCACATATACTCATTGTCTCTCCAGAGGTAGCTACTGTGGCTAGTCCTTTTCCATTCCGTGTCAGTGTGTTGGATACTGATACTTGTATGTGCATGGTATATTTATTTAATTTACTTTTTTAAAATGTAAAATGACAGTCTTGTGTGCATCTGTGCAGTTGTGGAACATATAGAAGGTTACTCCTTTGAAACAGGATCTCTCTATCTCTTTTACAAAGATTTATTTAAGTGTGTGTGTGTGTTGAGTTATAAGTACCCACAGAAGCAAGAGGTATTTTATCCACCTGATATAGGTGCTGGGAACCGAACTTGGGTCCTCTGGAAGCGCTCTTAATTACCGAGCCATCTCTCCAGCCCCCAAACAGGGTCCATACTGAACCCGATGCTTGTTGTTATGTCTGTGCTGTCACCAGGTGTGAGGTTGCTGCTGAAACCAGTTTGGCCACATACTGGGGTGGGTGTGAAAATTGATCTGCAGCAACAGCTTGGGCCAGACTGGGGCCTCCTAGGATCAGGGTTCTGCCCTGAGATTTCCCAGCCTCCTCCACACTGGTGTGCCCTGGTGTTCTGGTCTCAAGCTGACATCTTCCTGAAAGCGAAAGGGAGTGGTGCTTCTCGGGTGTTTGACACTGTGTTGTGCCTCCACTCCCCAGGCATTCCTGGTCTATGCTGCAGGGGTCTACTCCAACATGGGCAACTATAAGTCCTTCGGTGACACCAAATTTGTTCCTAACCTGCCTAAGGTGAGTTGGGGAGGGTGGCAAGGTGGCAGAGGTGGGCTGTGGTTGGAGAATGTAAAAGGGGCTCTGGTTGGAGTCAAAGGTGAAGGAAGACTCAAGTCATAACACTGTCAATGGGACACTGTGACATGAGTGTCACTCAGCATCCCCAAGTGCTGCAGACACACACACGAAGGAAAAGTACAACCCTTTCAGACTGCTGATCTGAGAGTCACTCAAGGGCAGGTGTGTAAATGTGAGCTGTTAGGTGCCCGCTGGTCATCACTGGGAGTAGGTGGAGCCCATGCACTGGTGTTCCTCAGATGTGAATGTCTGTATCAGCGGTCTGGTGATGTTCAATGCAATATCTAACTGAGCCGGTCTGTGGTACCTGAGGCTCAGCTCTTCTCAGTGTTTGCTGCTGCTGCTGCTCCCTGGGCTATACTCTGGGGTCTTAGGTTCAAGTAGAGGGAGGTCCTGGAGGTTTGCAGGGCATGTGACCAGGCCAGTGACTTCCTATTTCCTTGTAGGAAAAGTTGGAACGTGTGATCCTGGGCAGTAAGGCTGCTCAGCAGCAGCCAGAAGTTAGGGAACTCTGGCAGATCTGTGGGGAGCTCATGTTCTCCCTGGACCCAAGACTTCGACACCTAGGGCTGGGGAATGAGGTGAGTCCCACCATCCAAGAGCCTGGTAGACTGGAGGGCATCCTTGAGGCTGCTTGGTATGTGTGGAAGGGCAGCTGATGGGAGGCAGGGTGCTCTTCCTCTGTTCTCTAGCTGAAGCCACTTGGCACCACAGGCTTGCTTGTTATCTGTAATGGGAAGAGAACTGTATGGAATGTTTCCAGAATGTTCTTCCAGGTCTGTCCGGCCAGGATGTAGGTGCACGAAGAGGAAAGGAGAAAAGAACTGGGAGAAGGGAGTCTAGGAGGGAATGATGTGGGGGCTCCAGGGACCCTGCCTCTAGGGATTGCTCGGGCTGCTTGGGAAGAGGATATGACAAGCCTTAGGGGTGGGCCAGCTAGCGAGGATGGGTAGGGGTGGAGCTGGAGGAAAGACTGAGTTAGGCATGGTGGCACAAACCTATAATCCCAGCCCTCAGGAGGCTGAGGCAGGATGGTTGTGAGTGTGAGGCCAATGTGGGCTGCATAGTGAGATCCTGTGTCTCACAGGGAAAAAAACTTAAAAAAAATGTCCCAAGCTGATAATCCAGTTTACAGCTCTTTCCCTGGACTTAGATGGACAGGGTGGAGGTGCTGGGAGGGGATGCAGAGAGCCTAGCAAGGAAGCCATCAGCTGCCATATAGGGTTCCACCGTGCCCTCAGTAACTCCACCCACATGTCTGCCCACTCACCCCTTTTCCCACCATCTCTTTCCCCCACAGGGAGTCACCACCTATTTCTCTGGGAATTGTACCATGGAAGATGCTAAGCTGGCCCAGGGCTTCCTGGACTCTCAGGTTTGGGAATTGACAATTTGGAACACTAGTTTGATGGGGCCCCTTGTCCCTACCCCTTCACCAGGGGCACCTGTTCTGGGGTCCTTGAGGTGTAAAAGACTGAAGGAATCTTTGTGTGTGAGATAAGCCTATGCCAATCAGGAAGACAAAGATGTTACACACGTACCAGGATGCATCCACCCCGGCCATTCCCACACTTCCAAGATGGGGCTCTTGGGGCCTGTGTCCCTCAGCCCCTTGCCAGCTATGTTGATGTTTCCCAATTCCATCACACACAGCTAAGAGGTAGCTGAGGTGGCTTTGTGCCTCACAGAGTCGAGTCGGTGCTTAGTGAAAGTTATCGCTCCTGGGGCTGGTGAGTGGCTCAGTGGGTGAAGGTGCTTGCCAGTGAGCCTAGTGACATGAGTTTGCTCCTCTGCTGTCTAGATGTGGAAGGAGAGAACTAATTCCTGAAATTATTCTGAGACCTCCACATAAGCACTGTGCCACATGTGTGGAACTCTGTGTGTGTGTGTGTGTGTGTGTGAGAGAGAGAGAGAGAGAGAGAGAGAGAACGTGTGTGCACACCTGAATGTGTGTAATGTGTGCCACCTTTATTCAGGAGCCCTGGGACTGGAGTTAGAGATGGTTATGAGCCACCATGTAGGTGCTGGGAACCAAACCTGGGTCCTCTGCAAAAGCAACGCAGTAAGCACTTGTAACTGCTGAGCCATCTCTCAGTCCCAGTATATTATTTTAGTTTAGTTTTTTGAGGCAAGCACGGTCTCACTCTGCAGACCAGACTGGCCTTGAACACGGCGATCTACCTGCCTCTGCCTCCTGAATGCTAGGATTAAAGGCGCGCACTGCTCAATATTCTTTCTAGGTTAGCGTTTGATGTGTGAAGCCCAGCATGACGGTCTTCCCTGGCCGGCTGGCCTGCCTTCTCCTGTAGGCTTGGGAAGATCCCTCAGAGAAGCCCCTACTTTGCCTCACTTTGTCCATGGAATGGCCGCTCCTCCATTCCCTCAAGTCTCCCTGATCTCACATTCCTCAAATTCTCCTGTTTTTTCCAGAACCTCAGTGCGTACAACACACGGCTCTTCAAGGTGGTCGACCAGGAAGGGAAGTCCCACTATGAGGTGCGACTGGCTTCAGTACTGAACACAGGTGCGCTCGGGCCCTAATGTCTGCTGTCAACCATCTTGGGGCAGCAGCCCAGCTCCTCCAGCACAAAGAGTCCTTTGGTTCCAGTTGTTTCTTCATACAGCAGAAAAGTGGCTCTCGATCTTTCTGAAGTCCTGTATTAATGTGAACCAGTCCATGCAAGTGGACAAGAGACAGGGCTCTGATTGGGTCTACCTGGTCTCAAGCCCACCCCAGAGCAAGATCAGCATCTCCTCGGTCACTCAGACAGGAGTGGCAGCAGTGGGGACCTGTTACAAGCAAGGAGAGCAACTATATTTAGGCCTGTGTGCGGCCCTTCGCTAGCTGTTTTTTACCCATCCACATCCCTGGCCTCCAGCATCTGCTTTAGTCACGTTCTCCAGCTTCTGATTCCTACATCCCATCACTACGTCTTCATGCAGTGTGTTGCCTACTTCCTGCTCAGAACAGCTTCTAGCCCAGCCCATCTTTACCTAGCCGGCCCCTCCTCATCCCACAGCTGCAGGTGGATGGCACCTTTCCCAACATTCCCAGTAGCTTTCTAGTTGGTCATCTGTGTTGTAATGACAAGCCCCCCGCTAGGATGGACTGTGTGCTTCTGTTATCGTCTTTCCCAATGTCTGGTGCTTGCTGGTACTCAGGTCCTCAGTGTGGGACAGTGGGGTACCCAGTGAGTGGATGTACCATGTACACTCCAGATAGAGGGAAGTATGAGCCCCCACAGGGTAATGGAAAAGTTTAAGGAACAGTACGAGGTCTATTTTGACTCAAAAAGAAAGAACACATCAGCCAGAGAGATGGCTCAGCAGTTTAGAGTTCTCCCTGCTCTTCTAGAGGACCTGTGTTAGGTTCCCAGCACCCACCTCAGGCTAGCTATAACTCTAGGTTCAGAGCGCCCAACACTCCCTCTGACTTTCTAGGTACCAAGCACGAATGTGTTGCACATACATATATGCAGGCATTTGTACATATACACAAAATAAAAACAAATCTTTAAAAAGAAAGAAAGGAAAGGGACACAGGTCTGGGAAACGGGGGATCACGATGACGGAGAAGCTGGAACATGCCAACAGCACAGGTTGTAGGGCAGGACGGTGACCAAGAGTGGCTTGGGGGCTAGGAATGTGGATTGTGGGTAGAGCCCTGGCCTAACATGTTTCAGGCCTTGGATTCTATTTTCAAAGATTTCTTTCTTTTTTTCTTTTTGAGTATTTCTTTTGTGTGTATAGTGTGTGTGCCTGTGTGAGTTTCTGTGTAGGTGCTTGCGGAGGCCAGGAGAGGGTGGTGTCAGATCCCATGGCTGGAGTTACAGATAGCTGTGAGACACTGTTACGGGTGCTGGAACTGGACCTGGGCCTTCTGCAAGAGCAGTATATATACTCTTGTTCATTTGTTTGTTTTTTTTCAAGACAGGGTTTCTCTGTGTAGCTCTGGCTATCCTAGAACTTACTCCAGGCTGGCTTTAAATTCAGATCTGCCTGCCCCAGCCTTCCCAGTGCTGCGATCAAAGGCATGCACCATCACTGTCCTGCAAGAGCAATATGGACTCTTAACCCCTGAGCCATCTCTAGTCCTGTTATTATTCTTCTAGGACAGAGCCTAACTTTGTAGTTCAGGCTAGCCTGATGGGATTACAGGTGTGCACCACTGGGCTCAGTATAACTCTTGGGGTGTGTATGTAGGGAGTATTGGGGTTTTGTGGAGGTTTTGTTTTTTGAGGTAGGGTCTTCTGTAGTCTTTAGGGTACCCTAGACTCACTGTGTACCTGAGATGACACAGGTACATCAACGGGGAGTTGACCTCTCCCCGTGTCTACTTTCTAACTAATGGTGTTGCAGGTATCCAGTACCATACCCGGCTGTTTTGCAGCTTCATTTCTTTTGTCTTTTTCACACTTAACGTGTGTACACATGTCCTGGAATAGAAGTCAGAGGACGATCCACAAAGGTTGATTCTGTCCTCTCACCATATGGAGGACCTAGGATCATCAGGTTTGATGGTTGGAACCATACCTGAGCCAGGTACTCCAAGCCCCACTCTAGCTCAGGCTGGTCTAAACTCAGTGTGATGCTCCTGTCTCCACCTCCCAAACGCCAGGACTACAGATGTGCTTCTTGCTTAGGTTATGCAGTGCCAGATATCAATCCCGGGGCTTTGTGTGCGCCACACAAGCGCCCTATCAGCTGAGCCACATCCCTAGCCCCGAACATGTGCATGTTTGAAGAAGAGAATTGATCCTCATTTCTGTTGGCAGTGGGAAGACTTTGAAGTTCTTAGTGGGCCAGAGTGAAAAGCCTGCTGGGGTGTGCGATACTGACTTTTCCCTGAGTGTTTCCTCATTCCTTAGACCCTGCTCTCGACTCTGAATTGACTTCCAAGCTGAAGAGCTATGAGTTCCAGGGAAGCCATTTCCGGGTCACTCGGGGGGACTATGCCCCCATCCTCCAGAAGGTGGTGGAACACTTGGAGAAAGCCAAAGTAGGTCTAGCTGGGGCCTGAGGGGGCTACTTCCAACCCCTCTGGGCAGCAAAGGTGGATGGTCCAAGGCCGACCAGAGCTCTTTATCCCTAGACATATGCGGCCAACAGCCACCAGGAGCAGATGCTGGCCCAGTACGTGGAGAGCTTCACCCAGGGCTCCATTGAGGCCCATAAGAGGGGCTCCCGCTTCTGGATTCAGGACAAAGGCCCCATTGTAGAGAGGTGAGATGCCAGCCTTTGCTCCCCCTTCATGCCTTCTGCCAGATCTCCTCCATCTCCCCCCTTCTCTCCTCTAGTTACATTGGCTTCATTGAGAGCTACCGTGACCCCTTTGGCTCCCGAGGAGAATTTGAAGGTAACTTCTCATGGAGTGGGGAGGTTGGGTAGAACTCCCTCCAGGGTTCTGTCCTTCTCTCCTAGAAGTAAAACAGCAGCCCTGGGCCAGTTTACTTGCAGTGACCTGGCATTGTGTAGTACAAAGTTAGCCTCTATTGTCTCACTGAGCCAGAACGTGAGGCTTTTACCATAGTGATGGCTGAGTCCATTTACCCTGACTGAATCATTTGGCTGTGCTGCCTTTTGTGCCTGACCTGGCAAGGCTCTAGATAGACAGACAGACAGACAGACATGATTTCTTACCCTGGATTTGCCCTTCTGATCTGTGGGTGTCAAGAGTTCAGACCTCTGAGCATCATGAAGTCTTGTGTGTACTGATGTGCCCAACAGTTAAGAGTGGATGTGCCTCTTGTGTGAGACTGATGGAGTCGTCGTCCCCAGCTGATGGCAGACTGCCTCGGTCCCCATCCCACAGGCAGGTCATTGCTGGAGGATTCAGACTGGTCTTTGCCTACTCTCTTTCTCCCCATTCTGTAGAGAGAGGCTGAACAATGAGTTGCTAAAGCCAGGGATTAGCCTGGCAGGAGAGGAAAGTCCCAGCGGTATATAGGAGGCTCAGGCTGAGGTCATAGGAACATGAAAGAATTCTCATGCCTGCAGCTTTCCTGCCTGGGACCTGGGACCTTGTGGTCCCCAGCAGCCTGCATAGCGCTGCTGCACACAGCAGTGTTTATCATACATGTGATGGCTGAGAAACTGGGTAGGGTGCAGTGGGATCCCAGGATGCTGCCAGACCACAGCCCCACCTCCCAACAGGTTTCGTAGCCATGGTGAACAAAGCCATGAGTGCCAAGTTTGAGCGGCTGGTGGCGAGTGCTGAGCAGCTGCTGAAGGAGCTACCCTGGCCTCCTGCTTTTGAAAAGGACAAGTTCCTCACTCCTGACTTCACCTCCCTGGATGTCCTCACCTTTGCTGGCTCTGGTATCCCTGCCGGCATCAACATCCCCAACTGTGAGCTCCCTTCATGTCCTCCCAATTCAAGGAAGTCCCCATATATTCCTCCCCTTTGCCCCTCCCCCTTCTGTCAGCTCCCCTTGACCTCCGCCCTTCCCTCTCTTCCTTATCTTCTAGATGACGACCTGAGACAGACAGAAGGCTTTAAGAATGTGTCTCTTGGGAATGTGTTGGCTGTGGCCTATGCCACAAAGCGGGAGAAACTCACATTCTTGGAGGAAGAGGACAAGGTAGGCACTGGTTGCCTGAGGCTTCGGGCCAGACTGTACCTGGCTGTATTGAGTCTGGGAAGGCATATGAACCAACACTGTGGTAAGGTCTGAGTCCAGCTTTGGTCCTGGCCTAGCCACTTGCCTGGCACATGACGGTTTGTCACAGAGGAGCTTCCATTCCTTCACACCGTGGAGGCAGTCCCTCCTCCTGGGTCCTTGTGTGGTTGCGATGGGCTGCTCCACGTGTATGGAATGGTTTAAGCATGGCTTCCCAGAAAGCACATTCCCCACATGGGCCTCAGCTTTGCTGAGAAGCCTTCTGTGCCATGTGCCCACGGAGAAATGGTGATCTGTGGGTCCTTGTCTCGACAGGACCTGTATATCCGCTGGAAGGGGCCGTCCTTTGACGTGCAGGTGGGGTTGCATGAGCTGTTGGGCCATGGCAGCGGCAAGCTCTTTGTGCAGGTAAGAAGGGCCAGCAGGGGCCGCTTGACCTGTCCCACCCTGAGTAAAGCTGTTCATTTCTGGGGCTACATGGCTCCCTTCAATATCTGGGAAAGTCCAGGCTCATGGTGCAGAGTGAGAAAGCGTTGCACAGCAGCAGCAGAGCCCGGCCCTTCCTGGTCTCTGTCTAGGGGCCCCTGAGAGGGGAGCTTCCGCAGCCTGAGCCCAGTAGGCCCTCTTGGTCAACAGCCACCAGCTGAACTGTCTTGGAGAGCCCTCTTTACCCATTCAGTCATCTGGGATCCTGGCGCTGTTTCCTACTTAAGGAGCTGTCTCCCCGGAGCGCTTCTCTTTCCCCATTGGCCACAGTGCCTGGAGCCCTTGACTTTCACTTAAGGAACACAGAAAGGGTGAACACAGAAAGTCTCTCCAGCAGGCTAAGGAAACTTGTGGGCTCCCAGTGTGGAGCCACATAGCCAAACAACCAGAGGAGGGTAAGGACCACAAGTGAGGTCAGGGTTCTGGGTTGGGCCTGTTCCCATTGGTGGGGCTTCCTCCTTAGATGAGGGAGGGCTGGCGCTGGACCTGGTAAGTCAAGAGAATTTAGAAAGCCTCTGAAGGGGCAGCAGCCAAGCATGGTGTCCCATCCAGTCCTTACTCAGGCCATGTTTTTAAATACTTTTCTTCTGGTTGGGCCTCAGTGGACCCACCTGTACACCATCACATGAACTAAAGTGAAGGAAAAGAGAAGGTGAAGCGTGGCCCTGGCACAGTAGGGTTTTAGCAAGCATGGATGAATATTTGGAGGCAGAGAGGTTCTTGATTTCTGAGCCTGTTTCCCACCTGTGGTGTGTGGTGATGATAGAGCCTCCCCTAGGAGGTGACTGTGAGGATTAAATGTGTGATATTATGAAAAACACTTGGCATATGGCAGGTGGAGGGGGGGGTCGTGCTGGCAGCATGAGTGTTGGGGCCATGACACATGGGGAGAAGCAGACAGGCTCTTTGGCCTACCCATCGGGGTGTCTCCTACACAGGTCTGGAGAGTCTGGGTTCACAGACAATTTCAGGTGGTCCTTCCCTTGTCCCTCCCGTTTTCCTCTCTGTACAGTGAAGTCAGTAGGTGGTTCCTCTAGTGCTGAGGGACCTGAGGAGGTTGTTGGCACCACAGAGCTGAGGGTCACAGGCATTAGGGGTTCTGCCTGACTGTTCCTTTCCTTATCTTTCTGAGCTACTTAGATTCTGCCCAGGGGACACCGTCCCCTAGCCCACCCCACATTCATGACCCTTCTTCTACAGGATGAGAAAGGTGCGTTCAACTTTGACCAAGATACAGTGATCAACCCAGAGACTGGGGAGCAGGTGAGGAGATCATCTATGGAGCCAGGCTGCTGGGAGGGGGGACACAGGCGGGGCCTGACTCCTGGGTCCTGGGTCCTCCTTCTAGATTCAGAGCTGGTACCGAAGTGGAGAGACATGGGATAGCAAATTCAGCACCATTGCCTCCAGCTACGAAGAATGCCGGGCCGAGAGTGTGGGCCTCTACCTCTGCCTCAACCCCCAAGTGCTGGAGTAGGAACAGTGGGCTGGAGGGGTGGTGGCCAAGTCCCCAGACTGGGCAGCTCTGCAGGTGTTGGAGCATAGGGCTAATCGGATCATCCCTGTCCCCCCACCCACCAGGATCTTTGGCTTTGAGGGAGCTGACGCAGAAGACGTAATCTACGTGAACTGGCTCAACATGGTTCGGGCTGGGCTGTTGGCTTTGGAGTTCTACACTCCAGAAGCGGCCAACTGGCGACAGGTGGGACTGGCAAAGAGCCACCTTCAGGATAGAGAGGGAGCTTGCCGTGTGGCCATAGTCAGGATTCTGGGTGCAGGGATGGGACAAATGCAGAGGAACTGTAACCCCAGACTCTACTGTTGGTGGGACAAGCCGCATCACTTCTGCCAGAGTCAGGATCCGATTTGTTTTGTGTTTTTCAAGAAAGGGTTACTCTGTGTAACCTGGCTGTCCTGTAAGTCTCTCTGTAGAGCAGACTGGTCGTGAACGCAGCCACCTTCCTCTGCCACCACACCTGATCAACATATAGGTTGAAACTATGGTAATCAATAGTGATTTAATTTTTTTTTAAATTTATTATTTTTGTATAGATATAGTTCTCTCCTTCCAGTGTGTGAGTCCTGGGAGTCAAACTCGAGTTCTCAGGCTTGCTTGGCAAGTGCTTTATCCATCAAGCCAGATTGCAGGCCTTTTTATTTTTTTTTTAACAAAATGAAGTAAATACAGTTTGGGAAGGCCATGCATGTCCTCCAAGGTGGGTGCTGTAAACCTTGCAGTCACTGGGGGAGTCAGACAGGAGGTTTACTTGAACCCACGAGTTCCTGAGACGCCTGGGCAGCATAACAAGACCCCATCACAAAAGAGAAAAGAGGGCTGGAGAGATGGCTCTGTGATTACGAGCACTGGATGTTCTTCCAGAGGACCTGGGTTCAATTCCCAGCACCTACATGGCAGATAAGAATTGTCTGTAACTCCATTTCCAAGGAATCCAGCATTTCCTGGATTCCACAGATACTGCATGCATGTGGTACACATACATGTAAGCAAAACACCCATGCATATAAAAGGAAATTGAGGCAAGTTTTTTAAAAAGGAAACATACAAAGAAAATTATGTGTGCGCACATACACACCCAAATAAAGGAAAACATGTTTGGAGTCTGGACTGAGGTCTGACTCCTCACTGTTCCGTTAGCAGCTGTGTAACCTTGAACCAGTCACTTCACCTCTCTGGGCCTCAATGTCTTGTCATGTGTAGAAGTGGGGATAATGATGTCTATTTGGTTCCATTGTTGAGCACAAAAAAGATTGGGAAAGAGCCAGCCAGTGGTGGCACATGTCTTTAATCCTAGCACTTGGGAGGCAGAGGCAGGCAGATCTGAGTGAGTTCGAGGCCAGCCTGGTCTACCGATGGAGCACAGCCAAGGCTACACAGAGAAACCCTGTCTCAAACAAAACAAAAACAAAGATTGGGAGAGTCCCCAGGGTCTTTGTAGTGAGGGGACCCCAGGAATGACTGCTGTCTGGAGCATTAAGAGCTGTGGCAGGTGGTGAGGGGGCATAGGGCACCAGGCTCTGCTCTCACAGCCAGCCCTGGTGAACAGGCTGGGAGGAAGAAAGGAAGAACTTGAGGAGAGAGGAGTGGGCAGAAAGGGTAAAGAGAGACTACATGGGCAGTGACAACTGACAGCTTTATTGAACACGTTAACAAGCTTTGCATCCAGCGCCAGACACGGGCCACACGTGACCTCTTTCCCTCGGCCTTGGCAGGCCCACATGCAGGCCCGGTTCGTGATCCTGAGGGTTTTGCTGGAGGCTGGCGAAGGACTTGTTACCGTCACTCCCACCACAGGCTCTGATGGGCGCCCGGATGCCCGTGTCCACCTAGACCGCAGCAAGATCCGGTCAGTGGGCAAACCTGCTTTGGAGCGGTTCCTACGGAGACTCCAGGTAAGTGAAAGTCTCACCTTGGCCACCTCCAACCTCTTCTCCGTCCCTCCCTCTCATCCTGTCAATACCTCTTAACCTCCTGGCCGGTCCCTTCATCCAGCAAGTCTTTCTCATGACTGATAATAAGCTATGAGCAGTTTCTCACACGGTCATGAAGGAATGCAGACATTCATTCATGAATGCAATAGGATGCTTCAGATCATGGCAGAGAGCTGTATTGTGCTAACACTGCTTGCTGGGTGCGATGGTGAGAAAGATTGGGAAGGAAAGGCCAGATGCTTGCATAGGCCAGAAGAGGGCATTGATTCCCCTGGAACTGGAGTTATAGACAGTTGTGTGCAGTTGGGTTTTTGTTTGTTTGTTTGGTTTTTCGAGACATGGTTTCTCTGTGTAGCTTTGGAGCCTGTCCTGGAGTTCGCTCCTTAAACCAGGCTGACCTTGAACTCACATAGCTGCATCTGCCTCTGCCTCCTGAGTGCTGGAATTAAAGATGTCTGTCACCACCGCCTGGTTGCAGTTGGTTATTTTTACTCTTTGACTCTTTAGGGGGCCTGCCACCCAGTTCCCAAATAAATACACAGAGGCTTATTCTTATAAATGCCTGGCCTTAGCTTGTCTTATTTTTAGCCATCTTTTCTTTTTTTCTTCTTCTTTTTTTGAGACAGGGTTTCTGTAGCTTTGGAGCCTATCCTGGAACTTGCTCTGTAGACCAGGCTGGCCTTGAATTCACAGAGATCTGCCTACCTCTGCCTTCTGAGTGCTGGGACTACAGGTGTGCGACACCACCACCTGGCTAGCCAGCTTTTCTTAATTTAAATTATCCCATCTGCCTTTTGCTTTTCTCTTTATCCTGTGCACATTTCTGTACTTCTTACCCCGTGGCTTGCTGTGTAGCTGGGTGACTGACCCCTGGAGTCTTCTTCCTTCTCTCACTCTTCCCAGATTCCTCCTATTTATTCTATCTGCCTGACAGCCCCACGTATTCTTTCTCCTGCCTTGCTATTGACCATTCAGCTCTTTATTAGGCCGACAGGTGTTTTAGGCAAAGAATCACAGCTTCACAGAGTTAAACAAATACAACATGAAAGAATGCAACACATCTTTGCATCATTAAACAAATATTCACAGCATAAACAAATGTAACACATCTTAAAATAATTTTCTACAACAGTTGTGAGCCAGCATGTGGGTTCTGAAAATCGAACCTGGGTCCTCTGGAAGAGCAGCCAATGCTCTTAACTACTGACCCATCTCTCCAGCCCCTGAGAAACCCGTCTTTATGGTATGGTACTTTCTACAAGGAAACATAGGAACATATTGAATATTTTTAGCAATTTATATTTCATGAATTGTAGATTTATGAGTCGTTGAATTAGGATCAAAGTATCTCTGATTGTATACCCATCTGTTTCCAGGAAGGATCTAAAGAATCTTTCACTAAAGCATGGGAGTTTGGGGTGATTTTGTTTTTAAATTTTTGTGTCTATGTGGGAGACAGAGGCAGGCAGATCTCCAAGTTCAAGGCCAGCATAGTCTACAAAATGAGTTGTTCCAGGACATCCAAGGCTACACAGTGAGACCTGTCTTGAAAAATACAAAAACAGACAAAAACTTATGTGTGATATTGAGGAGTTGTGCATGAGCTACAGTGTGTGTATGGAGGGCAGAGATGATTTGTGAATTGATTCTCTTGTACTTTTATGTAGATTTTTGGGGGCCAAACTAAAGTCGGGCTTGTGTGACAATTGTGTTTATCTGCTGAGCTACCCCACCTGCCCTATTTGTTGATTTTAGTTTTTTGTTTTTAATTTTTTGGGTCAGGGTCATAGGTGTATATCCCTGAGTGGCCTAGAACTCACTATGTGGACCAGTCTAGCCTTGAACTCACTATGTAGACCAGGCTAGCTTTGAACTTACTATGTGGACCAGGCTAGCCTTGAACTTGTGTCATCCTTCTGCCTCTGCCTCCCAAATATGAGATTATAGCTGTGTATCGCTGTACCCAGCTAAAGCACATGCTTGTAAAGTTAAAATTAAATTAGGGACTGGAGGTAGTATATGTGCTTAATATATGTGAGACCCTGGGTTTCGTTCCTTCAGTACCCAGAAATCAATTAGGATAGAAGCCATGAAAAGCAATGTCATTGGGGGGTCCTAGGGCAGGAAGGGGCATTGTTGGCAACGCTAGTAAGACCTAGGTGGGACTGGAATCTAGTTAGTAGAAATGGGCCAGTTATGAAGCTGGCGAGAAGAGAAGCCGTCCTGATAGCTTCTGGGAGCTCACTGCACCGTCTTTACAACTGAAGATTTTTGCTGCAAGTGGCAAAAAGAAGGAGCTGTTAAGTGTAGGAATCAAATCCATCAGCTCCTAGGCAAGACCGAAAGCAGCCCCTTCTAGAGACTGAGCCACTGTGTAGCCCTGGCTGTCCCCCAGCTCAGAGACTGTCCTTCTTTCTCTCTAGTGAAGGGATAAAGGTGTTGCCACCACGAGCGACCCAGCTGGGTCTGTCCAGGGGGAATCTGGCAGCGTATGTTCAGGTTCCTCGGCAGTGTTTCACAGAGACTACGTGAAGTCGTCTCTGATGCAGCTGTGTTGTATCAGCCATGTTTTCTCCTGCTGGTCTTGACAAAGGCTAGGTGTGAACTGTATTTATGACTTCTCCGGAGGTCTGGCAACAGTGGCTTCAATGCCTGTGTGACTAACTGGCCAGAGCTGAGTGCCCCACATTCAGGCATGGCATGGACTTCATTTTACCCAGGGACCTCCCACTTCCTGTTATTCCTGTAGTCTGATTCCTTTTTTTTTTTCTTTCTTTCTTTTTCCTTTTTTTTTTTGTGTGTGTGTGGGGGGGTTCAAAACAGGGTTTCTCTGTAGCCTTGGCTGTCCTGGAACTGACTCTCATAGACCAGAGTGACCTCGAACTCACAGAGATCCACCTTCCTCTGCTTCCTGAATGCTGGGATTAAAAGCGCGCACCACCACTGCTCAGCTTGTAGTCGATTTCTGTATTCACCAGTTAGTTCCACATCCATAAATTCAACCGAATGCACACGCAAAAAAGTATTCAAGAGAATCATCTCATATCTACTGGACATGCACAATATTTTTTCTTACCTTTCCCTAAACAGAACAGAATAAGAACTAATTACATAGCATTGAATTGTCTCGGGACTATAGCGCAGTTGGTAGAGTGCTTGCCTAGTGTATATGAAGCCCTGGGTCGTGTCCTCAGCATTGTATGAAAGTGTTGGCTCCTACCTGTGATCCGAGCACTCAGGAGTAGAGGCTGGAAGGTCAGGAGTTAAGTGTCTTCCTTCACAGTTTGAGGCCAACCTGCGTGGCCTATATAGGTTCAGTCTCAAAAGCAAAAGAGGTAGGGCTGAAGATATGGCTCAGTGGGTAAATATGCTTGCTGCATGAGCATAAGGGCCTGAGTTCAAATCCCCAGAACCTATGTAAAAAGCCAGTGCCTGTAACCCTAGTACTGTGAGGGGCAGAGATAGGATCATTGAGCTTGTTGGCTGCTAGCCCAGCTCCAGGTCTAGTGAGAGACCCCGTTTCAAGGGACTATGGTGGCGGGTGATAGAGCAGGATGCTCTGGCTTTCTCTGCACACACCAAACACATACACACAAATAAATCTTTAAAGTTTGTAAGAAATGTAAATGTGATTTAAAATGTACTATACCAGCAGATGTGTGGAGATTAACCACATAAAGCACAGCATTTTGGATTATGGATTAAACCTTGAACATTCGGGTTTTGTTATCCACTGAGGATATTAGAACCTGTTCCTGTGGACTGTGCCTGCCCGAGTCACTCCTGATATTGCTGCCTCCCTTGGCACCCATGGCACTAACTCCCCAGCACGAGCTGCCCAGGTCTGGCCTGTTGGCCAGAATATGTCACCAAGAGGTGATCTAAGCTAAGTAGATTTCCTTGAAGCAAACTAGATAACCAGTGGGATAAACAGGGGAGGGCTCATAGAAAGGACAGGTGGTAGATCTAACTGAAGAGCAGAAATAAAACACTGAGGAGAAAGAAATGTTGGGGGGCAAGACTAGAGAATTCAACTTCAGACTTTGTTTGTTTGTTTGGTTTGTTTTGTTTTTCAAGACAGGGTTTCTCTGTAGCTTTGAGCCTGGAGCCTGTCCTGGAACTAGCTCTTGTAGACCAGGCTGGCCACGAACTCACAAAGGTCCACCTGCCTTTGCCTCCCAAGTGCTGGGATTAAAGGCGTGCGCCACCACCACCCAGCCTCAGACTTCAGTTTTACTAGGCAAGTACTATATCACTAAGCTGTATCTGAAGCTTACTGAGAGAAGGGTTAAAAGAGAACTGAGCAGTGTCCACGAGAGTGAGGAAGTCTGATAGAACGATGCTCAAGAGCATGGGGAGATTATGAGGAGACAAAGTAATGATGTCTTTGTTTCCACAGCTGCCGCCACGTGGCCTTAATCCCACCCACAGAGGAGGAGCCTGAACACTTTTAAAAGTTCCACCTCTTTTATTTTTCATTTAAATTAACTTTTGGGGTGTGTGTGTGTGTGTGTGTGTATGTGTATGTGTATGAGTGTAGTGTATGTGTGGTATACACGTGGGTGTGTCCTGCTCCATCGCTCTCTGCCATGTTCCCCTGAAGCAGGGTCCCTCACTGAGCCTGAAGCAAGGAATGCAGCCAGCAAGACCCAGGAACGCTCCTGTCTCCCCTACCCCAGCACTGAGATTACAGGCCCCTGCGTCATTGCCCAGCTGTTTGCATGGGTGCTGAGGATTTAAACTCAGGTTTCTCGTTCTTACACACTGAGCTATCTCTTCAACTTCAAAGCCCGACTTCTTAGTATACACTGGTCCTAAGAAAACTATTGTCAGATAGTCTGCCTCATACCTGTAATCTCAACATGAAGAAAACAAGCAGGCGATTCTTTGGTGAATTCAAGTCTGGCATGGTCTACATAGTGAGATTCTGTCTATAAAAGGGGTTGGGGTTGGAATAGCCATCTAGGATGTTTGTTTATTTGTTTTTTTTAAAATATCTATTTATTTATTTATTATATATACAATATTCTTTCTGTGTGTATGCCTGAAGGCCAGAAGAGGGCACCAGACCTCATTACAGATGGTTGTGAGCCACCATGTGGTTGCTGGGAATTGAACTCGGGACCTTTGGAAGAGCAGGCAATGCTCTTAACCACTGAGCCATCTCTCCAGCCCCTGTTTATTTGTTTTTGAGACAGTCTTATGTAGCTCAGGCTGTACTCCCTATGTTGCCCAGGATAACCTTAAACTCTTGGTCTTCCTGTCTCTACCTTCCAAGTTCTGGGCTTATAGGAGTGTGCCATACACCCAACAAGGTCATTAGGTTTTAGCACTGAAATTTTGTAGAAGACAAATCGTAGCACATCCTATCCAGAGCTAGGTGCACCTGGCCATGCTCCCTGGTCAAGTGTTATGGAACCCTAGGCACTTAATTCCTCCTCCTTACAGGTGCTGAAGTCCACCGGGGATGTGGTTGCAGGACGGGCCCTGTACGAGGGGTATGCTACGGTCACTGATGCACCCCCAGAGTGCTTCCTCACCCTCAGGGACACAGTACTGCTGCGCAAAGAATCCCGGAAGCTTATTGTTCAGCCCAACACTCGCCTTGAAGGTAACAGATGTTGCAGTCATTGCTGAAGCTCCCTGCAGTCTTTCCAGAGAATGGATGACTCTCCTGGTTCAGGGATGACTCCCTCTCCGCCATGTTCTTTCTAACAGGCCTTGGGCCCAGAATCTTGGCATTTTCCATCTCATACACATGGACATTGGTTGTCAAGCAGGCAGCAAGAGGTCTCAGGGAGGCTAACAGAGTGGGAGATTGTGGAGGACAGGCCAAAGCCTGGAGGAACTAGAAGGTCCTAGCAGGAGGTAAAGTCAGGCAGTGAGCTAGGACTATACAGGCCAAGTAGGACCTAAGAAAATTGGAATCAACAACATTCAGGATGGAGATGTCCTCAGTCCCCCCTTCTCAAGTGACATCTCTGTTTCTAGAATCCCTGACCCTGACTGCATGGTGCTGGTACCTTGTGTGCCCTTCCTGCTCTCCAGTACGCTGAGTCCACCCTACTTGGTAGCCTTTGTACATGCTGTTCCCACAGCTTGGCATGATGTCCCTCAGGTCTGTGCCTGTCTGGTTCTTCTTGCTGGTCAGGTCCCTGTTAAATGGCACCTTCCTGAGACATTCTGTCTCCAGCCCCTCAGCACAAAGTAACCCCTTCAGTCTCTTATCTTTCAGTCCAGGGGAGGCCACTGAGGGATGGTGCCATGGGTGGGATCCAGCCATTTCCTGAAACCGTTCAGAGCCCATTAGGAATGAGAATACTTGGAGATACTGATCACCCAAGGAAAACGTCAATGAATGTTTGAAGGATACTAATAGTCCTTTGAACACTTGGATAAAGATCTATCAATATCTTTAGAATTTCCAGAAAAGTTCTTGGGAGGAAGTGGTGGTGTTTAAACCAGACCTGAGGAGTAGGTTGGACCTTTCAAAGGTAGTAGTGAGTTAGAGTATGGGCTGTGGTAGAGCTTTTGCCCACTATGCTGTAGTCCCTGGGTTCTACCCCTAACACTTTGGTAGTTGGTAGTGATGGTGATGGTGGTGGTGGAGGACTTGGAAGTCCCAAGTACTAGGTGAAATATTTTCACAATAGGCTGGGATTGTAGCTCACTGACAGTGTGCTCTGCACTGCCATATAAGGCCCTAGGTTCCATCCCCAGTACTGGAAAAAAAAAAAGAAAAAAAGAACCTTTTTAAGGATTAACCACCAAAGCCCAATGAAGTTCTCATCTGTGAACTAAAATACTCATACACAGATGCCTCAGACCACACAGCTAAGGGGTTGCAGAGTCAGGACTTGGACTTGGGCCGTGCTAGCCTGAAGCCTGCACTCTTAGCTACTGTATACCTCAGAGCTACGTGTCACATGCCACACCACACAGTGCAGAGGTAGAGCAGCTGGAGAGTGACAAAGGGATGCTCGCCACCAGAATCCAGGGGCCTTGTGACAGGCACATCTCACAGGTACGATGATCAGAGACGCTAGCATTCACTGAGCCCCCAGCTGGTGTTCCAGCATATGTAATCACCACAACACCTTGAGGGAAGAGGTACTGCGTTCGTTCCCCACTTTACCTGTAAGGCACTGAGACTTAGAACAGCTGGGAAACGTGCCGTGTTCGAGACGTGAAGCAGTTGCTGGACTGTGAGTCTCAAGAGGCCAAGGACTGTATTTGTGTCATCTCATATAGCACTTAAAAATTGACTTTAGGGGCTGGAGAGATGGCTCAGCGGTTAAGAGCATTGCCTGCTCTTCCAAAGGTCCTGAGTTCAATTCCCAGCAACCACATGGTGGCTCACAACCATCTGTAATGAAGCCTGGTGTCCTCTTCTGGCCTGCAGACAGAATACTGTATACATAATAAACAAATAAATAAATATTTAAAAAAATTGACTTTAGGTTTTATGTGTGCTTTGCTTGCATATAAGTGCACCATGTGTGTGCAGTACCCCTGGAGGCCACTGGATCTCCTGGGACTGGATGGTTGTGAGTCACCCTGTGGGTTCTGGAGGCCACGCTGAGAGCAGCCTGGATCCTCTGCAAGAGCAACACTTTTAATCCCTGAGCTCTCTCTCCAGCCCTGACGTGGCACTGTTATCAGTCATTTTTGTTAGTGATTGTTGGGGTTTGGTTTGGTTTAGTTGAGACTTTTAGACTAGCTTTAAATTTAATGATCTTCCTTCCTCAGCCCCGTGAGTACTGGGGTTATGGTGTGCACTACCATGCCAGACTCGACTTAAGGAAATGATGAAAGAAAATAGCAGTTCATTCAAGTCTGCTGCAGTAGTTCTGCCTTCCTCGCGGGTTATTCTAATGCCTGTATTAGATAACTAACCTAAACGTTGAGCAGTTGGTGCCACCGAGCTCAGTCAGGACTCGCTGCCCCATACCTCTGAAATGATGATTCTGCTTCCCTAATCACATCTTTTGGTGCTGCTGTTTTCTCTCCATCTCCTCCCAGGCGCAGAAGTACAGCTTGTAGAGTATGAGGCCTCAGCTGCTGGTCTCATCCGATCCTTCCGTGAGCGTTTTCCAGAAGATGGGCCTGAATTGGAGGAGGTCCTTACCCAGCTGGCCACAGCAGATGCCCAATTCTGGAGGGACCAGGTCAAGGAGACCCCAGCTGGCCAGTCTTGAGAAGATGGTGTGATCCCCTTCCCCACACCCATCCAACCAGGGCTGTCAGTGGCCCTGCATTGTGTTTGTGATTAGGAGTCGGGAGAGGGGCGGAAGCTCGGACTCTGGTGCTACCTCAGCTGAGGGTGGTAATACTAACCCTTCCATTTATCAGCACTTTCCAGTTTACCAAGTACTTCCTCAGTTCCTTGATCTGCACTGCCATCTTTGGAGGGAGTTCCGGTTTCCCACGTGGGAAAGTGGCAGTTCTGAGGAGTGACTGGCCTAAAGCCTGCAGGTGGCATGTGACAGAGCCAGGGCTCAAAGCATTCTCACCAAATCCAATGCTCTTCGTGTATTACGTTTATAGCCAGAAAAATAAATGCCACAGACAACCATGATCTTTGCAGTGTGTGTGATTTTTCCTCTGGAGTCAGAGCCTGGGGAGGGCATACTACCGCACTTTTTCTTCCAGTCCACAGTACGATTTTGATGTCATCTCTAAAGAAAAGCACAAAGGCACAGTGTGAGCTCCGCAGATCTCCTTTGTGACATTTTTTAAGACTTATTTTTATGTGTATGTATGCGTTTTCTCACTTTGTGCTGGTACAAGCACAAGCTAGAAGACGGCATTAGATCTCCTAGAACTATACTTAACAGAATTGCGAGCTGCCATGTGGGTGCTGAGAAGCAAACCAGGAATCTCTGCAGGAGCAGCAAGCATTCTTGTACTTTAAAATATTTCAGGAGATTAAGAACAAGAACATATCAACTTGAGATACCACCCTTTAATCCTGGTGGTTTGCTTTTCAGAGCCTGAACCTCTATAGTATGACAGAAAGAACATGACCCCTTTCAATTGGGTTAACCATAAAAATTGAGGCAGTTCATTTTGTTGGTCTTAATCCCCCAACAAGGGCTCCTCCCCAGGGGGGACCCTGTTATTGATGCAGAAACCATAAATCAAAATAATACTGCAAGGGAAAATGCCGTCAAGGAAACTGGCGTTTATCACGTTTGGTTCCAGCCGGGACAATTTCATTCCGGAACGTTTGTTTCTGTGCTTTCGGGTGTCCGGGTATTATTGGGCGTTGCGCTACGGCGGAGGTGGTTGCCACGGCGACGCCCGGAAAGATGGCTGCAACGCCTTCATCGGATTCCGACAGCGGGAGAGCTGAGAGGTGAAGTCCCGGGTCCTCCCGCCTTCCTTTTCCTCAGATGAGTAGACGGTACCTTAGTGCCGGGTCCTGGGCTCTTGCTTTCGGAAAGCGCTGGAAGTTCTGGAAAGGGCCGTTTAGAATCAGTTACGAAAAGTCAAAGGCCAAGAGTGTCCGTGACTGGCTGATCGCTCCGGGCGCAAACTGATCCCATATTCCCCTTTCTCCGTGCTCTCAGTCTCAGGCATCACCTTACTCAGCTTTCTTCCTTTCCCATGGGACTTATTTTCCAACTATGCTCTCCTTTCCCATCGCAGCAACGAAGCCAATTCGAAATGGCTGGACGCGCACTACGACCCCATGGCCAACATACACACCTTCTCCTCCTGCCTGGGTGAGTCTCCAGATCTAGGAATATCTAGGAGGATGGGAGGATCAGGTAATGGTGAAGGCTTTGGGATTCTCATGCACGACCCGCTTGTGTTTTCCAGCTCTGGCAGATTTGCACGGCGACGGGGAGTACAAGGTAGGCGATCAGAAAGTTGAGTGGGGAAAACTCAGAAGTGAGATTTGCAAAGAGGCTCAACATACTCTGGAACCCATTAGTACTGTAAAGACACATTTAGTTGGACTTCTATCTTTCTTTTAATGATTTATTTATTTTTATGTGCATTTGTGTTTTTCTTGCATGTATGTTTGTGTGAGGGTGTCAGATCCCCTGGAGCTGGAGTTACAGACAGTTGTGAGCAACCATATTGGGTACTGGAATTTATCCAGGGTCCTCTGAAAGGGCAGCCAGTCCACTTAACTACTGAGCCATCTCCACAACCCCGGAATTTCTTTTTAATTTAGAAAGTGAACATTAATTTTATAACATGATCTGTAGAAATAAAGCAGAAAGCAAAGTGTTGTAGATTTATGATACCATGACATATAATTCTCTGAAAATCAATTTGGGGGCTGGAGTGGTGGTACATATACCTTTAATCACAGCATTTGGACAATAGAGACAGTTGGATCTCTGTGAATTTGAGACTGGCCTAACAAGTTTGAGGCCAGCCAGAACTACCTAGCAAGACCCTGCCTGGATAAGCAAAACAAAGTAAAACAAACAAACAAAAACCCAATCCCCATCTGAAAACAAAATTAGCAAGGAAGTTAATTTTGAGATTTTTATTTTTTTATTTAGGGTTTGGAGGATGCATGAAGTGTGGCGGTCAGGTTACAACTTCTGAGAGTCAGTTCTCTCCAATGTAGGTTCCAGTGATTGAACTTAGGTTATCAGGTATGGTGACAAGCACCTTTGCCACTGCAGGCCCCCCATTCTTGTTTTTGGGGTTTTTTTTTTTGACTTTTAAAAAGATTTATTTATTTATTCTATGTGTGAGTGCGCTATCAACTTTTGCCAAATAAGGGCATCAGATGCCACTATAAATGACTGTGAGACACCATCTTGGTGCTGGGAACTGAATCCAGGTTCCCTGGAAGAGCAATTAGTGCTCTTAACCTCCGAACCATCTCTCCAGCCCCCCCCCCCCAATTTTTATGTCTAATTGTTACTGCTTAATTATTTTAGTTTATTATACAAAATAATGGGCTTAAAAATAAGAAATGATTTACAAAACTGGTTTAGTTTTTTTGTTGTTTTGTTTTAAGACCGTCTCAGTGTAGTACTCTTGGTTGTTTTGGAACTCACTATGTAGATTAAGTTTCAGATTGGACTCAAACTCACAGAGATCCATCCATTTGCCTTTGCCTCCCAAGTGCCAGGATTAAAGGCATGAGCCGGCATGCCCATCTTCTGTGTCATCTCTGAGTAGACACTGCTAATAATCTTCTCTGTGTCGTCCAAGCTTTAGTGTATGTGCTGCTGGGATGAGCACACAGCCTCTTAGTTTAGATCCTGTGACGCAGTTCTTTGGTACACGAGAAAATACCTGATTGGGCATGGGCATTAAAGTCTCACTGGGTAAAGGCATTTGTTGCTCAGCTTGATGACCTGAGTTCAATCCCTTGGATACATGGGACAGAAGGAGAGAACCAACTCCCTAAAGTTGTCCTCTGATTTCTACATATGTGCTGTGGCATGGATGTGCCCACACACATATAAATATATGTAATTTAGAATACAAAGAGAGACAAACCTCAGGGAATTGAGGATTTTCTGTTTCTCAAGAGGGCATAGGTTATCAAGAGACTGATGACTGATGATTATAAAAGCTTTACTGTTTTTATGGGTTCATAATATTTTCCTCTCTACTTTTCTTTGTATTTAGAGATTTTCCTTAGTAAAAACTTGATTTCAGCCAGGTGGTAGTGGCACACACCTTTAATCCCAGCAATCTGGAGACAGAGATAGGTCAACAGGTCTCTGAGTTCGAGGTCAGCCTGGTCTACAGAGGGAGTGCCAGGACAGTCAGGACTACATAGAGAAACCCTGTCTCCAAAGCAAAACAAAACAAAGAAAAACTTGATTTTAATACAAATATAAAATAAATATATTTAGTCTCATAACAGAGAATGTTGCAACTATGTTCAAAGTCGTGGGTTCAGTCCCCAGCACCACAGTGAACGAAAAGGAATGAGTGACGAAGGGTAAGCCGCTCATCTGCCACCCCTGGATACTCACCAGACTCGAATAATTGAAGAGTTCATTTGATCTTTTCCAGGTGTCATGGGTTAGATATTCCAATTCTGCAAGAGAGAAACCTGAGTTCAGAATGGCTAATTAGCTTTCCTAAGGGGTATACCTCTTCCAAGCCCACAGCAAAACCTTTATGAATGTGTGGATGGACTAGGAAGCACCAACAAAAAGGCTGAGCCTAAGAAGATCCTTAAAGAAATGACCACTATGCTGAATGGTCTCCTCTCCCTGCAGCTGGTGGTGGGAGACCTTGGCCCAGGTGGGCAGCAGCCCCGCCTGAAGGTGCTGAAAGGCCCGACAGTGCTCACTGAAAGCCCACTGCCTGCCCTGCCAGCGTCTGCTGCCACCTTCCTCATGGAGCAGCATGAGCCCAGGACGCCAGCCTTGGCACTTGCTTCAGGACCGTGTGTCTATGTATATAAGAATCTTAGACCCTACTTCAAGTTCAGCCTGCCCCAGTTACCTCCAAACCCTTTGGAACAAGATCTTTGGAACCAAGCCAAAGAGGTAAGTGGCCTAGGGAACAAGAAAGCAAAGATAGCAGCTATTGAATAAGAAGGACCAGACTCTCAGAAGAGTGGGCTCACAAAGTGGCCAATAGTGAGACGTAGACCATAGCCCACCTCTGGCAGCAGCAGTGAGGTATGCTCAGCCCCAAGGAATGGCTTCCAGGGAGGCACTGAGCCAGGTCTTTTGGAGAGCAGAAGCTAGAGAACCTCTCTGCCCTAGCCACATACCTGTTAGGGAAGGGAAACCAAAGAATGGACAGACTCACTGGAGTGAGTGGGAGGTGACCCTGGGGAGTAGGGATACCTAGGGGAGGCAACCATAAAGAGAATGATGGGCATGAACATGATTCAAATTCAAAAACTGGACTTGGGGTTTGTAGCAGGGAGTTGGGAAAAAGTGGAGAGGAAGACCTGTCCCTTGTCTCCAGGTATAGCCATAGTGAGCTGGCTGAGGACATGGCTGCTAGAGCTCACAGGCTCTCCCTTCTTTCCATGCTAACACAGGACCGGATCGACCCCTTAACCCTGAAGGAGATGCTGGAGGGCATTCGGTGAGAGCCCACTTCCTCACTTTCCACGACTTCATCCCAAAACTCCCCTGTGAACCTTCACTAAAGCTGCCATTTTGGCCACTCTCATTGCAGGGAAAAGGCAGAGGTGCCTTTGTCTGTACAGTCACTCAGGTAGGAGTCCTGTGGAGGCGGGGCAAAGCGGGTGTCTGTGGCCTGGCCCCAGGGGCAGCCAGGACATGGCATGCAGGTGCTAGTTCTACATGTGCGCAGGTTTCTGCAGCTGGAGCTGAGTGAAATGGAGGCATTTGTGAACCAGCACAAGTCCAAGGTTATCAAGCGGCAGGTAATGCCCTTTCTCTTTTTATTGCCCTATAAAAGGGCTTACATTCTTAAAATTGTGTATGCTAGTGTGTGGAGGTGGGTATGTGTGTGGAGGCCAGAGGATGACCTTAGGTGCTGTCCTCTGGGATACCATCCGTCTCCTTGGATACAAGATTGCTCTTGGCATAGAGCTCACCAATTAGTCCACATCAGCCAGCCAGGAAGCCACAGAGATCCAGCTGTCCCTGCCTCCCCTGC